AAAGGTGCAGAACCTTGGCAGAAGTTTCCTAGGTAGGCAATCCCCCAAAGCTGTTGTTTGCATATGTCTCAGTGGTGTAGGCATCGCACTTTGGGTTGTTATAGCTTTTTTCATTTTTCTTTTTTTGTAATAATAATAGACTCCATCGGAAACTCCCTGGCCTTGGCCAATCGTATGTGATGACAGCCGTGTAGTTTTGAGAAGGTAGGTTAGAAGGACGCCGTTCTGAGTGAGAGTATTTTTGTTTGTGGTTTGGGGGTGGTCAGAAGCTTGGTTGAGACAAAAGCTTTTCTGCTCTTAACACAGGCAGTTGCAACTAAGAAAATCCTCTCGGACTGCTGTGGATTACCTGTGGGACTGTGTTTTCTGAACACTGATGCTCATGGTGTCCAGCTGATGATAACACGGGCCCTCTGTTCAGCTGCTGTGGCAACTGAGGCAGGAAAACAGTTGTTGATTCTCCATGACTACTTCATGGCTCGTTGTGGGCTCGACAGACATGTGGGATTAAGCCCATGCTCCTCCCAAGCTTGCTCTGGGTCAAACAGTGAACAAGGCAGGATTTTACCTTTGGCAGCTCATCGAGCACAGAGATCTTCAAGCTGAGGCCCGTACACCCTTGGGAGACAAAATGGTTCCTAAGAGTTGTGCGGTCAGCTTAGAAGATGAAGTAGAGGAATCAGTTTGCAGATTCTCAGCTGATAGAATATTCTTTCTTAGAATTGTTCTGTCCAAAGATGGGCTTTTGCTTCATGTTCTCACCACCCCCTTTCACGATTGTCCTATTGCTGTTTTTCACCAGAGAGGCACACTCCTCCACCCCCAGCCATCCCAAGTGGTACCAACCTGCTTTGCCTCCCGAAGGCAAGAACCGTTTGTGAGGCAGGTGCTGGGCAGTGTAAATGCAGGTGCTGAGAAGAGAAAAAATTCCACCTCTTGGATTCCACATCCCTGGGCCAGGTGGTTTCTAATAAGACTTACCAGATGGTACATCACACAGCATGATTCCTGATGACAAATTCTATATTACTTTTGGTATACAATTCAGGAGAAGTTCAAAGAATTGAGTGACATTTATAGAAGAAATTCCTTCTATACACAACATCTTGTTTCTTTGAATAGGTTTATTAGAATTTACAGTTTTAAGAAATTAAAATGGAAGGAATACTGTTGCTTGACCCATCTCATTTCTTTTTTTAAAAAAAAAAATTTAATGTTTATTTATTTTTGAGAGAGAGACAGAGCACGAGCAAGGGAGGGGCAGAGAGAGAGGGGGAGACACAGAATCCGAAGCAGGCTCCAGGCTCTGAACTGTCAGCACAGCTGACAAGCCGTGAGATCATGGCCCTGACAAAGTTGGAAGCTTAATTGACCAGGTACCCCTGGTCTCATTTCTTTGCCAGATCTCCTGTATTGATCTTGGCTAAATAAACTATTTGAGAAACCAAAAACCCCAACTCATTCATTTCCGAGTACATTTCCAGTAAAATACCATTTGTAATGTGTTGAATAATTGTTTATTAAAACTTAAATTTATTTGGTTTTGGTGGATTATATACTACTTATCATAATGATAAGCAAATTGAGGCAAAAAAATTAAGACTGAGAGATTTGTGATCATAGGAAGTAAAATATACTTAATTTATATATTTATTTTTGTCACAGAGAAGCATAGTAGGGTAATCACTATAAGAATGTTGGAGTATAAAAATATATCACACTAGGATATACGTGGAGGGATGAAATGGAAATATGAATTCAAGAATAAAAATGAAGTAAAATTTCTAGCTGGCTAAGAGCTTATGTGCACATTTTTTTTAATGTTTATTTATTTTTGAGAGAGAGAGAGACAGAGTGTGAGCAGAGAGGGACAGACAGAATTCTGACAGACACAGAATTCAAAGTAGGCTCCAGGCTCTGAGCTGTCAGCACAGAGCCCACTGCGAGGCTCGAAATCACAAACCATGAGGTCATGACCTGAGCTGAAGTTGGATGCTCAACTGACTGAGCCACCGAGGCGCCCCTGTGTGCATGTATTTTAAGTTGATGGTGGCAAGAACCATCCTTATAATGGTTATGATGGTCCACTGGCGACGTCAAAATCGGGCTGCAACTGGTTTAGTTTCATAGGTCACCATGTACAACGTTCCAAATTATACTCTTTGCAACTATTTAAAGAGAAGATGAAAGTGTTTAGATATTAACTTGTAAAAAATGAAAAGGGAGTGTGCATAATTTAAAAACCATTCTTGGGGGAGTGTCAGAGCAGACATCTGCGGGCTGCAATACTTAGGGTCAGATGGCTGAAGGGATCCATACTGGAGTCAAAACCCCCCAGTTCTACCAGTTATTGGCTCTGTGACTTTGCACTAGTTACTTAAATGGACCTAATTAGGTTTTCCTTTACAATGGAACTAATTCTTTCCTTACTAAATTGTGGCGAAGTAAGTGACTCGATGTGCATAACACTCTTAGCAGAAGGTCCCCGTGTAATTAGTGTCAGTGCCTTTCCACTTCCCCCAAGACTGTACGATCCCTCCTTCCTTGTCCCTCTTTCTCCTTTCCTCCATCACCTCATGTGTATTCAAAGTTGGCCTTATTTTACGTTCTCTGTTAAATGCATTTGATTCGCATTCCAATGGTCCCAAGGTATATTCTATAAATTCATTCATCCAACAAACATATATTAAGCACTAACTCTATTCCAGGCACTATTAGGCCCTGGGGATAACTGTGAGTTAAAAGAGACAAAATCCCTATTGTCATAGGGCTTACTAAGTGCATGGTGACAAGGATGCATTGGCCGCTCCCAATTAGCAATGTCGTTTCTCTAATGGGAAACTAGTTACATTTCTGCAGATTGACCCATCTGTCTGTCCGCCCAGCTAGCCAGCCAGGTGGCCATTTAGTTACAAAATGTATTGAGAAACTCCTAGGACCATGATCAGGCATTCTTGTTCTGAAAGTGACCACAACAACACTCTATTTTAATAAAATCCCTTTTTGTATACCTTTTATCACAATATGTGTAGAGATTAATTGCATGATGTATCTATTTTGTGGTTAAATGTAAATATCCCTGGTTTTCTTTATTTTTTTTATTTCCTGTTTAAAATATTGACTACCTTTTTGAAAAATGTTTATTCATTTTTAAGAGAGAGAGAGCGCATGCGCGCGCATGAGTCGGGGAGGGGCAGGAGAGGGAGACACAGAATCTGAAGCAGCTCCAGGTCTGAACTGTCAGCACAAAGCCCAATGCAGGGCTTGAACCCATGAACCGTGAGATCATAACCTGAGCCAAAGTCAGATGCTTAACCAACTGAGCCACCCAGGTGCCCCCATTGAGTAGCTTTTGAATGATTCAAACCAATTTGTATATTCCTTCTAGATCAATAATTTATTTTATTGGGATTTTCTTCCAGGATGCAGCTAAAAACATATTTAAAATGACACATTTGGAGGGGTGCCTGGATGGCTCAATCGGTTAAGCATCCGAATTCAGCTCAGGTCACAATCTCAAGGTCTGTGAGAATGAGCCCTAACTCAGGCTCTGTGCTGACAGCTCAGAGGCTGGAGCCTGCTTCAGATTCTGTGTCTCCCTCTCCTGCCCCTCCCCCACTCATGCTCTGTCCCTCTCTCTTTCAAAAATAAATAAACAAAAAAAATTTTTTTTTAAATTTAGATGAGGGATTTGGGGAAGGGAAATAAATGATCTGGGCCCTCAAAGTGATTCTGTTTCTGCTTGACTTTCACACTTTATCATGGAATGTTGTTCTACCACTTACGTGGAGAACTAGTCTTCCGTAAATACAGCATTGAGTTACTTTATCCTGATTTCATCCAGAAATTTACAAATTTCAATTTCAAGACATGTCCATTTCAATACATTCCTTTAAGCCAGATTTTTAAATATAATATCTATGTCTTTTTAAGGCAAAGATATTGAATTCTTTTAATGTTTATAATTCAGTTCCTTTTAGTATATTCATAATGTTGTACCACCACCCCCATGATCTACTTCCAGAACATTCCATAATCTCAAGAAGAAACGTCCCAATTCTCTCCCCCTCCCTGTAATTACTACTCTATTTTCTGTCTCCATGGATTTGCTTATTCTGGATATTTCATATACATGAAATCATACAATATGTGACATCTTTCCCCTAATACAATGTTTTCAAGGTTCATCTGTGTATCAGTCCTTCATCTCTCTTTATGGCCAAATTTGTTGTGTGGAAGTAGCACATTTTGCTTATAGATTCATCAGTTGATGGACATTTTGGTTATTCGCACTTTTTGGCTATTATGAATATTATGTACAAGTTTATGCATGAACATAGTGTCAATTCTCTTGGTTATAGCTAGGAGTGGAATTACTGGGTCTTATGGTAATTCTATGTTTAACTTTTTGAGGAACTGCCTTTTCCCACAACCATTGTACCTACCATTCGACATAAAAACATTTTTTATATGCATTTGCTGTATGTGTGCAAAGTATGTGTTTCCATGCTAAAGGATTCCCTTACTAGTTTCAAAAAGTAAAATGCACTTAAGTGAATTTTACCTTGGATTTTCAAGGGCAAACATTAAATAGAAGAAAGTGCCACTTAACAAAATGAAGCAACAATTTTTATACAAGCATTATATACATCTGTATTTCATTTCTCACAATTGTATTTTTGACATGAGCTGAAGAGTCTTTTTATTTCTAAGAATAAAAACTGGTATTTATTCAGTTTTATTACCACTAACATTGTTTTGTCAAAAAAAGTTGAACTCCTCCTTTAGAAAATATTTCCATTGCTATGGGTAATGAAAGTAATTATTTTCAACAGTATAATGAATATTGTGTTTTAAGAGAAGTAGTTATATTTAACATATACAAACTTTAAACCCAGGACACAGCACCCCACTTACAAGTGAGAGTCTTCTGGAAGAGAAGAGAACCTGACAGCATTTTTTTTGAGTACTGAGGCGTGACTGTGAAGTAATCTAGGCACATGGCGTTAATAAGGTGCTCATTCAGGTGGATCAAGCCCTTGGCTGCAAATCCCTGGTGAGTGTCCTCTGTGTGATAACTTCCTTTTGTTTAATAATTTCTCCTAAAGGTTCGTTTTAGAGTTCTAAATTGTCCAAATGTTTCATGTGTCAAAGAGCCAAAGTGTTCCAGAAATCTATGCGTTATGCCTGCTATTTTGTGATTCATTTTTATTCTCTCTACTCTCCCTGAATTACACCCACATCATCGCCAATGGGAAAGACATTCATCTAAAGGCTGAAGATTCTTGTCCTCTTACTAGATTTGAATAGCAAAAACCTTCCTAATACCCAGAGCAGCAGGGGCCCTATAACCACTAGAGTTAGGACAGGGCACTAAGTGAGTGTGGTAGGCAGGATAACGGCCCCTGAGGATGTCCACATCCTAATCCCTGGATCCTGATAATATGATCTGTTACACGGTGATGGGGACTTATGGGGATTTATGTTTGCAGGTGGTATTAAAGTTAATCAGCTGACCTTGGGGAACTTATTCTTTTTTTAAAATATTTTTTAAAGTTTTTATTTATTTTTGAGAGAGAGAGAGAGAGACAGAATGCCAGTGGGGAAGGAACAGAGAAAGAGGGAGACACAGAATCCAAAGCAGGCTCCAGGCTCTGAACTGTCAGCACAGAGCCCGACACGGGGCTCAAACTCCCAAACTGAGAGATCATGATCTGAGCCAAAGTCGGACGCTTAACTGACTGAGCCACCCAGGCACCTCCCCTATTCTGGATTAGCTGGGTGGGTCCAGTATAATCACAAGGATCCTTAGAAGTGAGAGAGAGGTAGGAGAGCGAGAGGCAAAGGAGATGTGACAGTGGAAACAGGTCACAGGGATAAGAAAGACATGACCAGCCATTGCTGGCTCTGAAGATGGAAAGGAGACCAGGGGCTAAAGAATGTAGGCAGCCTCCAGAATCTGGAAAGCACAAGAAAACTGATTCTCCCCCAGAGCCTCCAGAAGGAGCACAGCCCTGCCCACACCTTGATTTTCAGCAGTGAAACCCATGTGGGAGAATCATGAGTAATACATTTCTGTTGTTGTTAAGCCGAGTTCATGGTAATGTGTTATAGGGCTGGTAGGAAACTAACATGATATTGTTAGAAGGGACCAAAAAAGATTTTGGGAGTTCAGACAGCAAAATGTTAAATAGAAAAATGGGAAAAGTTTTGAAGCTGATGAATATGTATGCATGAGAGAGTGGTAGGAAGGAGAATGGACTCGTTTCAGAAATACAGGCGAATCTTACTTGGAGCAGATGGGGAGGAAACTGCAAAATAATCTTAATTTTAAATGGTTCTTAAAAAAAAGAATTGCCGGGGCGCCTGGGTGGCTTAGTCGGCTAAGCGTCCGACTTTCGCTTAGGTCATGATCTCACGGTTCGTGGGTTTGGGCCCCGCGTCGGGCTCTGTGCTGACTGCCAGCTTGGAGCCTGGAGCCTGTTTCAGAGTCTGTGTCTCCCTCTCTCTCTGACCCTCCCCTGTTCACACTGTCTCTCTCTATCCTAGAAATAAAATAAAAATATTAAAAAAAAAAAAAGAATTGCCTTATTTTTTAATACAGACAGCAGCAGGAGGAACTATCAGAGGACAGGGAAAAGGAAGAGCAAGAGAGGTTGAGCGCTGACCCCAACGACTTCCCTCCTTGCCCCCTTCCAGCAAGTTTTTGAGGACATTGTCCAACATTTCTGAGTCAGTTTGCTTTTGTGGAAAATGTGGAAAAAAACTTGCCCTGGTGGGGTTTTTTTAAGTTTATTTATTCTTGAGAGACAGACAGACAGACAGACAGAGTACAAGCAGGGGAGGAGCAGAGAAAGGGAGACACGGAATCCAAAGCAGGCTCCAGGCTCTGAGCTGTCAGCACAGAGCTCAACACTGGGTTGAAACCCCGTGAGTTCAAACTGTGACATCATGACCTGAGAAAGTCAGCCACTTAACTGACTGAGCCACCCAGGTGCCCCATGCTTGACTACAGTTTTAGTGAGACTATATATATATGGAGGCCAAAACCACTATGGGTAACATGTCCTTACTTACAAATGTCCAAAGTGATAGGGGCCCAATTAGTAAACAGTAGTTAGAAAGACTTGACTTAAAACACTTTATTCCATGTTTAACACATCTTTCAACCTTTTATTCTCTTAATTTACTTAGTTACTTCACTGAAATGCCAGCCTCGCCTTTATTGGCATTGTCATGAACTCCAACAGCCGGGGTGTGGAGAAGGAAGACCTCGGTGGGGTAGGCAGTAAGCATGCGCTAGACCTGCCTGGGTCCCCAATCTCCTAGTCCTGGTCTCGCCCAGAGGCACAGCTCTGCAGCTTTCTATAATGTTTCTCAGCCTTTTTTTTTTTTCAATTTTTAAATTTATTTCTGAGAGAGAGAGACAGCATGAGCAAAGGAGGGTCAGAGAGAGAGGGAGATACAGAATCTGAAACAGACTCTAGGCTCTGAGCTGTCAGCACAGAGCCTGACTCAGGGCTCGAACCCATGAACCGTGAGATCATGACCTGAGCCGAAGTCGGACGCCTAACCAACTGAGCCACTCAGGCGCTCCTGTTTCTCAGCATTTTAACATGAGCGGGTGACTGTGGAGAACAAAGTCTCACTTAGGACATAGGTTTCAGACAGAAGACTCTACTTAGAACAAAGGACAGAATGGGGTGCCTGGGTGGCTCAGTCAGTTAAGCGTCCGACTTCGGCTCAGGTCATGATCTCACAGTTCGTGGGTTCGAGCCCCGCGTCAGGCTCTGTGCTGATAGCTAGCTCAGAGCCTGGAGCCTGTTTCGGATTCTGTATCTCCCTCTCTCTGACCCTCCCCTGCTCATGCTGTCTCTCTCTCAGAAATAAATAAAACATTAAAAAAATTTAAAGAACAAAGGACAGAGCTTGCAGGGAAGTCGCAGGCTGAGTCTGGCTGGACCATAGCTTTCCTCCCATCCTTGGGGATGATGTGACCTGAATCCCCAAAGCAATCCAAGCTGTTTAAGAATTAAATTAGATGATGAATATGAAAGCTCCTTGACCAATGTAAGCCCAAGGCAGATGTATGCAGATGTTTAGTGGTTGTCACAGTCAGACTGGGCTCCTGGAGTAATACCATAGCCCAGGGGCTTATAAACAACAGAAATTTATTTCTCCCAATTCTGGAGGTGGGAAGTCTTCGATCAGGGTGCCAGTGTGGTGGGTTCTGGTGAGAGTATCTTCCAGGTTGCAGACTGACGACATCGTGGTGTGTCTTCACATGGTGGAAAGAGAGGGAGAGAGAGCTCTCTGAGGTCCCTTTATAAGGGCATTAGTCCCATTCATGAGGACTCCACTCTTGTGACCTAATCACTTCCCAAAGGCATTACTTCCTAGTACCATTATAAAGGGTGAGGATTTCAACACATAAATTTGTTGGTGGGGGGGGATCGGGAGATGCTATAAACATTCGGTCCATAATAGTGGTCTTTTATTGTTACGTCTCTTCTCCATTAAAATTTGTTTATAGTTATGATGTCATCCCCAGTGGATTTCTGCCTCACTCCCAAGACCCTGAACCACTTAACTCTTCCCTAACTGGTTCATATTATTTTCCTTCCCTTCCAGACCACCTCCCCCGTCCATTAGGTTTTCTTCCCTCTTCCCTTCTTCCAGTTGGTTCCACTTAATGGCATCCAGGAGACACTAGTCTTTGCATTGTCCCTGAACAGAGCTGCCTCTTTTCCCTCCCTCAGGATTCTGCATTTCATCCAGACAGTCCCCTTATCTACCCTTTCAGGTCTCACCTCCAGAGTGTTCCCAGGGTACCCAGCCCAGTGTGGATCCCACTAAAGGGGTGTGAGTACTTCTTGACCGATGAGTAAGAAGGTAGATACAATGATGACAAGCAGAGAGAGGGTAACATTGATCTTGTCACTGATGACAGTGGCCTATTAGGGAAAAAAAACTTTATGGAATTTCTTCCTTTGTTCTTTCTCTTTTTAGTTTGTTTTGCATGAAAATGAACAGTTTGTGTTAATCTGCATTTTTGCTGTTTTGTAGGTTGCTTATACTTATCCTCTTTTCTATGCAACATGTATATGCGGTAAGTACATTAATTAGCTCTGAATGCATGCATTGTTCTCATTATAAACCTTTTTGTGTTAAACAAGTCACATGGGACTCAGTTTTCTCATCTCTAAAATGAATGGTTGGACTAGGTGAACCCTAGTCAAGACTGCTTACCAGATTGCCCAGGTATTGAAGTTTTCTTCGTTTTATAACATGACCCTTTGTTAAAATCTTTTTTTGGAAGGGGGCAGGAAGTGGCCAGGCCACTTCAAGATTAAATCAAGAAATACAAGATTACACGTGAACATTTTAACTCTGGAGAAAGATAAGCCTAGAATATTATGTAATAAGATCTCTTTCTTCTGCTTCCCACTGAGGAATCTGAGTTATTAAACCCAACCCCAGACATTTCTGGGAATCCACACTATGGACTGCCAGGAACCCAGGTAGATCTTGCGATTAAATGAACTGGTTAAATCACCCCAGTGAGCATGTCCCCATCTGTCCGCCTTGTCTGGCTTGGAATTACTCAATCCAGTTTCTGTGATTTAAGTTAACATAAGTCTTTTCAAGGCAGATCAGAATAAAAAGTTGCTTTCTGTTCTGCGTTTCCTACCAGTCAGGACCAGAGAGGAATCAGAAGCTCTCCCCAAGTAGGATGATACGACTTGTTCCACTTAGTCCCATGCATTTGAGAGCATCATCTGAAATAGTGAATGGACATGGAAACACACTGAAATATATGGGTCTGGATGGTTTTTTTTTTTACCTGATTTCTCTACGTTTATTTTTGTATTATATTCTCCACCCCCCCCCCCCCCCCCCGGCCTTCCCCACTAGAAGGCCCTACAGAGTCTTAAGTTTCACTTCCTTTGTTTCTTATGTTCCATACGTGGGAAGAAAATTCTTGAACCAAGGACTCATCTAGCCTGGATCCTCCTATCAGATTGTTCTGTGCAGAGATATTAGAGATTTCACACAAAAGTAGTTATACTAGAGTTGGGTTTAAAAGATAGTGATAAAAATGGATGCAATAGCTATGAGAGGCAATTTGGCATTAGCCCTCAGAATTTCAAATGCAGAATCCTGTTGACACAGGAATTTTCCTTTTTGGAATTTATTATATATATTTATACTGACTTACACATAAAGAAAACGCACAAAAATATTGTAGTGATTATTAACAAAAGAAGAGAGGTAGCTAAAGCGCATGGAGAAGGACAAATTAAACAAGTTATAGTTTGGCTATAGTTTCCCTCTCTGAGGGAGAGCCATTTGGTTAACTTGGAATGACTTTGAAGTTGTCTGATTAAGTGAAGACAGCAAGGTACAGAGAAATATACCATTTGGGTAAGAATAAAACAAGACTCGAATCACCAAAAAGTGTGTGTGCACGTGTGTGTGTATGTGCACGAGTGCATATGTGTTCCTCATGTGAAAGTGCTCGTAACTCCCCAGAAATGGATTGAGGAGAGTGATTGCCTCTAGACGAGGGAACAGGGAGCCTGGGTTGGAAAAGAAAATTTCTTTCCCCATTATACTCTTTTGCCCTGTTTGAATTTTTTTTTTTTATCATAGGCCAATGTTGTTTTTCAAAAAAGAAAATAGAGGCACAAATGTAAGACCAGTTATTAATCTAGAAATTAATAATATACTCCTTAAACATTTTATTCAACATATATTTGTTTAAAAAATATCTGAGCGAAAATAGGACTGGCTCCTTTTCTTCCTCTTTGAAGAATAATATTAGTTTTGGAGAATGTCTGTGTATTCCGGTGAAGATGGTTTATACTTTGAATGTTGCCTTGTATGAGCCATAGTCTTCATCTTTTTCAAATGGGTTCACACAATCTCTTTTGGGGGCACATATTTTTCCTCTATGAAAGCCTCCTCAAAGGTGGTATTTATTGGGCTGTATATAACATACAAAAACTTCTTAGAGCCTAAAATTACCTCTTGCTTTTTTCCTTTATCAGTAACAGTCAAAGTTTTATATGTGACTATTGCTGTTTTATTTTTATTAGAATCTTCTAATTTATTATACACCAATTCTTTCCTGAAATGTAATTTTGCTACAAACATCTCTGTGATGGTTGGCACAATTAAGAAAAAAAAACAATAAAAGAACAAACTTGTCTTTATTATCAAGCCAGCTAATCAACTGACCTTCTTTCTCTGGTTGTTTTGATATTTCACTGAACACATAGTAATGAGTCCCAACCTTAAATGAACCCAAGTGTTCAGACCAGTTATTTTAAAGTGTTTTCATGATGTCCTGGACCTGGGCATTTACCCTTTTTTTTTTTTTCACCTTATCAAAGTTCTGAACTTGACGGTTCTGCATGCATAGATAACAATGTGACTCAAAACTCAAGAAGCATATATTTTGGAAACTTCAAATACATTTTTTTTTAAATGTAACTTTCATAAAGGTTCACATTCTTACAGACTTTCAATGATCCTAGAGTTTTGTTTATTAAAATGTCTTCTTTATTCATGCTTAATTTAAAGATTTTTCTTTTGGGATGTGTCTGAGCGTATTTTTTTCCTAGAAGAAAGAAGTCTAAGTTGTGTGATTGAATAATAAATACATTCTGGGTAGACCTTTTTCCCTCCCATACACATATTCATATATGTGTGTATGTTTACACGGGTGTGTACTCATATGTACACATACTTATATGTCTTTCCATACATACTTATGTACATCGGTATGTAGGTATACCTATTTGTTTTCCATAGAACTATAAATATTGGTTCAAATGTTATAATTTCTCCACTATGCTTTGGTGTACAGACTCAAGTTTACAGCCTTGAGTGTGAAAGATCTATCAGTCATAGAAATGTGTGGTTAGTCTATACGTGGTTGCAGTGAGGGCTGGACCAGGCAAGATCATGAACTAGGCGAAGTGTATCTCTGGTGCCTTTCTGATATTTCTGTCCACACTCTCAGCTTGCAGCATCTGGAGCTGTTTATGCCACTACTTCCTCCCAGCCCACCACCCCAGGCTCTAAAGGAATGGTCAGTGTTCATTGTCATTGTCATTGCAGGTGCATCATGATGGCTGTTTTGTTGTTAAGGGATCTACTTATGGAAACAGTTATTCTGGGATTATGCTTTTGTATTGAAGTGACAGTTGACTCTGGATATAGACAATGAGGATTTGTGAGAACAAGGGGCTGATTCTTCCTAAAGAGCGTGCGTGTGTGTGTGTGTGTGTGTGAGAGAGAGAGAGAGAGAGAAAGAGAGAGAGAGAGAGAGATTGGAAGAAACATGAAAGTTAAGAGAATATGTGAGTGTGGAGAAACTATCTAAAGAGAGTGTTGGAGAGAAGTCAGCGAGAAGTGGAGAAGGGCTCACATTATTCAAGTTCAGGAGCTTTCTGGTTGAGAGACACATTAGAGGAACCATCTTGGAGTTTCAAGCAGTTTGCAGGAAGCAGTTTTCATGTGAAGTCCAAGGCTGTGACGGGAGCAGTGACCAGGAAGGACTCTATGGTTTTGGAGGGGAAGCGAGAGAGTCCTGAAAAGCAGCCAAGTTTATAATTGAAGTGAGACACCATTGTGTCCATACAGTTTTCCTAATCATATAGTTTACACTCTAAGATTGTTCACAACTTAGTAAATGAGGTCTTGCCAGGAGAAACGCATCACAGAAGATTCTGGCTAAAGAAAAATGGCTTCAGAAGGGGGCTTTCTGTTCAATGCCAGCTCACGTAAACTTTTAGTTTTCTCACAGTCATCAGTCCTCTTATCTAGCCACGGTGGAAGTTCTTTGCTTTTTATACATCAACATGAATCTTTTCTTTTCGCAGCTTCAAAGGTAAAAGTATGCTGTGGAAGTCTCATGAGTTAGGCAAACCAAGATGCTCGTTATAAGGGACATATGTACTCAGCTAAGTGAGGAATACAGGTTTACTAAACCAGATTCTTCCTTTTCAGAGCGGAAAGAAGTTTATTGGGCCTTGCGGAGGAAGAGACTGCTCAGTTTGCCAGTGCTTTCCTGAAAAAGGGTCTCGGGTAAGTGATGTAAAAATCAGCATGGGCAGTGGGAGGAAGAAATAGGGAGTTATGGTCAAAGGGCATAAAGTTTCTGTTACACAAGATGGGTTAGCTCTGGAAGTCTGCTGTAAGATGTCTGCCGAGAGTTAGCAATAATGTCATGTTCACTTAACAATCGGTTGGGAGGGAGGCACCTGGGTGGCTCAGTCATTTAAGCGCCCAACTTCGTTCAGGTCATGGTCTCACAGTTCGTGAGTTCAAGCCCCGCGTCAGGCTCTGTGCTGACAGCTTGGAGCCCAGAACCTGCTTCAGATTCTGCGTCTCCCTCTCTTTCTGCCCCTCACCTACTCATGCTCTGTCTCTCTGTCTCTCTCTCAAAAATAAATAAACGTTAAAAAAAATTTTTTTTTAATTTGTTGGGAAGGTAGATCTCATATTAAGTGTGCTTACCACAATAAAATATTAGACAAAAGTCAACATGGGCGGCATGTTGAAATTTGAGCCATTGTGAATATTTAACATTAAGTAGTCCCAGATTCTTAGTGTGTTCTAGCAATTGTCAGTGTTTCTATTTCCAGTGAAAGTTCTGTACATTCTGATAAGCCATCTCGATTTTATTAGACTAGGCGTCAAGCTTAGAAGTGCAAGCCGTAATCTACCCAGTGTTTCACACTATACTAGTCTTGTGAACTGCCCTGTGCAAAAAGGGTCTGGTGTCAAATGGTGCATGCTGGGTCACCATCTTGAAACTCAGGTTGCATATCACCATTTTTTAAAATGTTTATTTATTTTTGAGAGAGAGACACACACAGAGCGCAAGCGGGGAAGGGACCTAGAGAGAGGGAGACAACAGAATCTGAGGCAGGCTCCAGGCTCCAAGCTGTCAGCACAGAGCCCGTTGCGGGGCTGGAACTCAGGAACTGTGAGATCATGACCTAAGCCAAAGTCGGACACTTAACCAATTGAGCCACCCAGGCGTCCCAACATGTCAACATTTTAAAAGTTCTGAGAAGTAGTGCAGTGAGGCAGGGGAAATCTTGTTTAAACTTATCCAAAGTGGTATATCTGGACATTGGACTACAAGACCCTTTTATGGAGAACACCTCCTGAGGTCACGTGGCATAGTGTTCTATAATTGGAGTGATGGCTGCATTCATTGTGCGCTTCTTACGTGCCAGACATGACTCCCTGTTCTCAAAATGCTTTAGGTCTCTGACTCCTCATGACTACTTTCTTGCCATCTTGGGGTGCTAACTTTACAAGGCAGAAGATCAAAGCTCAGAGAGGGGTAGTGTGTTGCTCAAGTCCACCCAGGACAGTGCTCTGGGTGACTGCACTAGACTCTCTGTCCCTGAAAGGCACAAGGAACCTCTTGGCTACTGTGTAGTGGGTCGTGTGAACATTTATGGGCCTCTATCTCCCTTATGTTCTGACAGCAGCAGCTGACAGCCCACTAGCTCATCTGTGCTGGAGTGTTAGGTCAAACAATTCTTCTGATTAAAAATAGTCCCACAATCTTAGAAGAAATGAGCATGCTCCAGAAACTTGGAACAGTTTTTGAGTCAGATCAGTGATTCTGTCAAAACCTGTCCACATTGATCCTATAGGGCGTGACACTCAAAAAGCACAATTCAGTGACGATTAGTCTACGAGGAGGCAAAACCTCTCCTGAGAGAAGAGACCATCTATTTCTCCCATAGCTTTGCTTTCTCTCCACACAATATGTGTGCAGTATGTAAGGGGACCTGTGTTGAGCTCTCTACCTGAAAGCAGCTACCTTCCCAAGCATGAATTATGACAAATCCCCTTCTGCTTAAACTGCTTTGTTTCTTTAGTACTTCAAAAAGTTTGGTGCTAAGAATGTATCTTAAGGTTTTTGTTTTCCTTTTTAAAAATTTTTTAAAGTAAAAAAAATTTTTCACAGTTTTTTAAGCTTATTTATTTACTTTGAGAGAGAGAATGCAAGCAGGGTAGAGGCTGAGAGAGAGAGAGAGGAGTGTGAGGATCCCAGGCAGGCTCTGCAGGGCTCGAACTCATGAACTTTGAGATCATGACCTGAGCTGAAGGCAGATGCTTAACTGACTGAGCCACCCAGGCACCACTATCTTGAGATTTTTCAAGCTGCTTTCATGGCTTGATTTAAAAGCAAGAGGTGCAAACTTCCACTTATAAAATAAATAAGTCCTGGGAATATTCTGTACAACATGATGAAAATAGTACATTATACTGTCTGGTATATTTGAAAGTTACTGACAGTAGATTTTAAACGTTCTCATCACAAGGGGAAAAAGAACCCAGTTACTGTGTGAAGACAGATGCTAACTAAACTTACCGTGGTGATCACTTTGCAATCTATACACATATCAAATTATGATGCTAAGATGCTGAAACTAATATAAAGTTTATATGTCAATTACATCTCAATAAAAATTCTTTTAAAAAGTAAAGACACTAAAAGCTAGCAATCTAAGAAGTGCCTTTTCCACGTATATGTACATGTTATTGGGGGGGGGCGGGGAAAGCCTGGCTTTTTACATTTTTTTTTTAAGTTTGTTTATTTTTGAGAGACAGAGCATGAGCAGGGGAGGGGCAGAGAGAGCGGGAGACGCAGAATCTGAAGCAGGCTCCAGGCTCTGAGCTGGCAGCACAGAGCCCAACGTGGGGCTTGAACCCACGAACCATGAGATCATGACCTGAGCCAAAGTCGGACGCTTAGCCAACTCAGCCATCCAGGCTCCCCTCCCATAAGTTTTAATAGCTACTCGTATGTGGAAGAGGTGGGAACCCTGCCCTGGGGTCTGACTTCAGGTGCAGCACTTGGCCTGTGGTCATGAAAAGATGTCTACACACTCAGATTCAGGCACCAGGCTGCTGTCACAACTGTGAACTCGGGTGGGCGCTTCGAGCGGCCCAAGCGTTAGTTTCCTTGTGCACCATGAGTGCTTTCTCTTCTGTTTCCTTGGGTGTCCAGTAATCACAAGCAACGCACCTTGCATCCCGCACACAATCTCCAGTGCCAGGGGTGACGGGCAGAGCAGAGTGCGGAACGCGGGCCACCTCTGCCCTTTCCAAGACAGACGGCAACCACGCGAAGGCTGCGCGCTGCAGGCCACACTGTCCAGCTGGGACTTGGGGAGCTTGGCTTGCGCATGACCGCGAGGTGGCGTGGGAGGTGGGTGCTCCCAGGTGCTCAGTGGTCAGCCAGCCCACTCCCATCCTGGCCCTGGAGCTGTGGTGACAGCTCCAGGGGGTCTAGAGAAATAGGAATCCATGCAGTGGCAGAGGGTTGGGGATCCGCCTGAGACGGGGCAGCCCAGGAGTGGCTGGGCCAGGCATTCCTAAGGAGGAAATGATTCCCCCTTTAGGGGTTCGTGCCTGAGCGAGTCCTTTAAGCCCTGGACCACAACTGCTGTGTCTGGAGCAACCACTGGCCCCACGCAGTGGAACGATCGGGTTGGGCGTGGAGCTGCAGACCCCCCCCGCTGGAGTCTGAGGTAGCGCTGGGGTGTATCTGTGGCAGGGAGCCAAGGGGCGGTTCCCTCGGTTGAAGTTCAGCGTCATCAGTGTCCCCTGAGGGCCCACAGTGGCTGCACCATGTGTTTCCGCCAGCGATCACCATGGCTTCCTCTTTGCTCCTGTCCTGGTGCATCCTGTGTGCCACCTGCTCTCCCTGGAGCATAATCCGAGCCTTCTCACTTGCCTGCCCTCTTCCGGTCTGTTTTCCCACTTCTGCTGTGCCTCTGTTTCTCCTGCCCTCCCCAAGGAGCTCGGTGGAGACCTCAGCGCTCCCAAAGCATACCCCCAACTCCTCCCAGCCAGCGCTGAGGCCCCCCGCAGGACCCTGGTCCCCTTCCCTTTCCTGATGGCACTTTGGCTTGTAGCTCTGCTTGGGTGAGAGCGTCGATGCACATGACCCTCTTCATGAGCTATGACCACACACGCCTTCTAGGTGGTCACGTGGACACAGGGGAAATGCTTATGCTTATTCAGATGCCTTTGCACACCTTTGGTCCTGGCCCGCAGTGGACATGTATTGGGCAGTTAGTACACATAAATCAGGTACATGAAAACTCAGCCTCCAGCCTCAGCGGGATTGGGAGCCTGAGTGGGTGGCCTCACAGGCCTGTCGCATTCTTCCAGGAGTACCTACCGTATCTAAGGGGGGGGGGGGCGGGGAAACAGGGTTAGCAGGGAGTCTCTCACCTCGGTCCTCCCCTGCCCACCCACACACGCATCGTTGAAACCTGTTATTAAATGTGCAATCTCACATAAGCTCACGTTCCCTTGTGGTATCAGGCAGGGCCAGAGATAAGTATTTTGAACAGTGCCAGAAAATAGTCCGGAGCATCCTGGAAAGAGCTCCAGTCGAGGATGGGAGACTGGAAACCCTGTCCCTTCTTTCAGGTTGAGAGCCTCAGCTGAGAAATAAGGGTTTGTAGTGTCGGGCTGGTCCCATTCCTCCTGGCCCGAACAGCCTCCGGTTCTGTGATGTAGGTGTGGCCTTTTGCATAGGACAGCTACTTAATTGGCTTCCAAAATATTTTGCAGCAATGCCCTGACATTTCCCCTAACCTCATAATAGTTCCTGTTTGAGGATATGAATGACATTGGCACTGGCTGAGATTTTAAGATTTTCTTAACCAGTTTCAGTGGTGGGATCTTCATGTTTTCGATCGTCTCCTTGCAGGGAAAATTATGTCTTTATAGACTAGACGGGACCTTTGAAAAGCTCCACTTTAGTAAGTAGCATGATGATCAAGACACGTTCTATAGCACTTTCCAGAATAAAATAGAAAATATGTCCTTGTTATTTTTCATTGAATGCAGTCTATCAACTATTAAACTGTTGAGTATTCTATTAAGAACTTTATAACTTGGTGGTTTTTATGCAAAGAAGTCAAAGGGTATAAAACTCAAGACCTGTCTTTTGTTTGTTTGTTTTGCTTGTTTTGTTTTTGTTTTGTTTTGTTTTGTTTTGTTTTTTTGCTTTGAAAGCTGAAATCACACATTAGCAAATC